TTTCACGCGCCCAACACACGCGCCTTGGAATCTGTAACGTTTGGTCGTTACTTGGCGGCAATAGTCTCACCGAAATCCCCTTTGCACAAATTGCAGGCTCAGCTTGGGCTCAGCGAGGGCTGATTACTTCGATGAATATCGTCCCATATCATCACATTTCACCACGGCTTACTGGGACCACACCCAGGACGAGCACATTCCCCCCGGTATCTATTCTGGAACTGTTTGAGCAACTCCTTGCTTTTGTGGCCTACGAGGAATTCTACAGACGTGACGTGGCATGACTCGCTCGACTTGCTCCTGTATCGAAAACGGCATCTGCCCTTCTTCTGGGTTTACTTATTGTGGTCAAAATTTGATAACCCTGGACCGACACTACTCATTGGACTGCTTTGAGCTGATCAAGGACGCGCTTAGAATAATACAGGCAAGTCCCGTCCGATTCAAGCTCTAGCCTGTGTGCCATGGTCTTCTTGACTTAGCCTCTGAGCATCTGCATTCTGGGCCCTTGTGTAGGCCGATTTCATAGTTTTTGACAAGCGATTTTGTCGATTTTGCCACAGGTTATAGAACGTGGTTGCCGCTGATTGCGAGCTATTGGCCACCTTCCGGAACCCCGTGGGCCGTTTGGCCCACCCCCTGGATTCGGCGACGTTGACGCATTCTTCCTCCTGAGGCTGTGTTTCTTCCTCTCACGTTGCGGCTTTCCTCGACCACAGTTTCCCAAAGTTCCAAGAGCCCAGAGGTGGAACGTTCGAACCACGAAATGGGCCTTGTATAATGGACAGGTGATTACACCTGAGTTTCGGAAGCAAGTGTACAACCTCGCCTGATAACATCGTAGCGTGGAGCTAGGTGGTCCCCCGAGAAAGCCCAAAGCAAGTTCATAGGCAAGTTATATTAAGGCAATGAATATTTCAACGCAAACTCTATCTGACGTTGGTAAATCCAATTCTAACGCACTCCTCTATTTCCTATTTCCAGACCTCAAGCACTCCTCTCATTCTCTTTATCCCACGCCCGGGTTCGCCGCGGAGGTGTTCTAACAAATCCCCGCGGCCAACCTGGAGCAAGGCGCAATTTAAAACGATCCCGTCCGGAATCGACTTCGTCCTCGTCCACACGCTTCCTCTTGCGACCCGACGCGCTGATGATATGACGGGTCGCGGCTGTCGGTGATGTGATACCTCTTGTCCAGACCAGCCAGCTCCCGTCAATAGGCGGGGGCGACGACAGCCGCGGTGCGCGGCGAATGGGGGTTGAAGGTGGACTGGGGCTAGGCACCGCCCAAAGTTCGGCGGCGCAAATATTTGGGCTGAAAGGAGACTGCAGAGCGCCCGGTGATGCATCTACTAATTATAGTATGTTAGCTAGTTTTTGCAGTAAACGAGGCGTCTATCAACCGTCTGTGTCTTCACGATGTGGCCCAATCTCCGCACTTTCTCTTGGAAAGGAGGATGTAGCTCTTGGGCCCAAGTTGAGTACAATTTGTGAGCACGTTGGGAGTACAAACCTTAGCTGTTCTTCTAAACGTTGGACGACTTCGATATGAAACGCCAGCAGTGATTCCAGGGCTGGCTTGGAAAGGCTCACAAAAGACATAGATGAAAGATGCGAGATGAAGCACAAGAAATTCGGTTCGCAGCTGCTGCATTTTATTTCGTCAGCGCTTTGGACCTTGGTTGATGGGCTTTGATCTCGATCCAAAGCATGTTAGCTCAATGACCGTTCCGACAGCCATAGAAACAAATGTAGGTCGGAGTGTCCCCCACCATATTGACATCTATTGACAACCGCTTCCAATTTTCAGCTTCTCCAGAGGAAAGTTATGATTTCAGATTCATTGCAGCCTGTGCAATTGACGGTCAACTTTCCAGTCGAGCGTACAGGTGCGGCTCGAATCTTATATGAGCAAATTCCTGCAGAAAGAATAATAGCTTCCAATGAGAGAGATGATTCAGGTTGGGAGAAATCTCACATACTGTACTAATCCGACCGTAGGTTCACTGGGTGTCACGCGTCACCAACATAGTTCACTGGATAACAAGTTCACGCTGATAAATACCATCAATAATTCCCTTATAAGGCAGTCCGGCGAATGCCGGAGCGAATTTTAGGGGCTTTTTCGGCCTATTTGGGCGAGAAAAGTTCAACGTCACCGTCACCGACCTCCAGAAGTTCAATTCACAGAGGTCTGTCACCCGTCACCTGAACTTACGGTCGGATTACTACAGTACGCAATTTTGAACCTTGTTTGAACCAAAAGATCCGAAGGTAGAATTCAAACTCCGATGATTCGCATGTCGTCACAACTCCCACACTCATCTTGCTTTTGACCATGGCAGCAAGTGGCGAGCCAACTTAACAGCCTTCTAGTTTGCTTCCACTTTGGTTTGAACTCCTTTATGCCGCTTACTATCGCTTATTATCCTTACTGCAATCATTTTCTCTCATCCAACTGTCTGGGTTTTTGGCTTTGCCATGGTACACCGGCCTTCGGCGCATGTTTGGAAGTCGGAACTCACAAGACCTCCTACCCTCTAATCGGATAATCCTTGGACCATGATAAGACCACGTAAGTACGCGGAAGATGTTGAATCTCGCGGCAGAACTAGCGCCACAGTGGCTATTTTTCATTAGAAGAGTCTGGAGTCTTCGGCTGCCCCCTTGACCTTCGAATTCCGGGTTTCTCTCGACCGTCGTACAGCCGTTTACGCTTGGCTCCATCCCTGAACGCCTTTGCTTGAGTGGTGATGTGCCCAAACCTAATGATCTTGGGAAAATAAAACGGCCAAGCTTCGCTCGTCAAGGACCATCTTCCCACCACATTGCAGACCTCATCGAGAGTCTAAGTATGCTTTATTTCCGGTGCCGTACGTATCACTGTTCTTTCGCCGTTCTTTAGCCATTCGTTGCATACCGGACGTCAGATCCCTGCTGCGTCCTCGACACCCAACGAACTGTCCGGCTTGAAGATGACGGCCCGGGCGAGGATACGCCGTCGCGAGCACATGATGGAATTCAATTATCTAGGCATTTCATTGGCTGCTGAATTGCCCAAAGTGTCCATGACTACCGAGTTTCTGACCACAGATCCTACCATAAGCGGGACCATATCCGTCCGACGGTCACCGGCATCAAATTCGGGCACGCGTGTATATACCTAGTGCTCACCAACCCACGACCATCGGACTCCCATCTTCTTCGTCCTCACTCTGCGCTCTCTGTCAGTCCTCTGCCAGTCCGCACGATCATGGCCCCTGTACGATCCCTCCTCGTCGGTGTCGTTTCGACGTTCATCGCCCTTGTCCCGCTGGCGACGACTGCCGCGGCGGTAACACCGTTGGACTGGAAACTTGCAGTGGGATGGAATGAGACCGTCCTCCCGGCAACTTCGTTCGGGACACCCGTCGGCGCGTGGACCCCACCCGCCTCCAAGGGCAGCCCCGTTCAGAACCTCGCATCTACCACCGCAACGCCGCAGAGCGCCCAGGGGGTGCGTGTTGGTGCCCAAAATTATCTCCCTTTTCTCACACTCTGTCCACAGAAACCAGGCGGTGTGTTCATCTGCCAGGATCTGAACTGGAAAGGGCTGTGCGGGTGCGTTGTTAATTTTAACTACTCAAAAATCTCATTTCCTACATACTACGTTGGACAGATACGCCGTTCAGCCGCTGAACGAGTGCATCTTGCTGGTTGACCCCTGGCTCAAGACCGTCTCCAGCTTTGGACCCGACCCGGGTGCAACGTGTTTCGGTGAGCACGACACGTAGATCATTATCTCCACTTGTCCTGATTATCTTCCAGTTTTCAGGTATGGATCAGGAACTGCTACTTCGAGGAAATGAAGACAAGATGCTGACGGGTGTATTCCTGTATGTAGCTCGGGCAACTGCGACGCTGGTCAGGCGCAATGGTCCTTCAAGTTCCCCGGCGACGACACTGGCGGCTTGGCAACTACCAACCCGTGGAACGACAAGGTGCGTTTTTTCTCTCCTTTGTCTGGCGCTGGCCAGGTCTTCTAGTCTGTTTACTTACGTTTTGTGTTCATTCCCTTATCGATCGCCAGATCACAAGCTTCGCCTGCAGCGCGTCGTAGGTCGCCGCGCGGTACTGGATACCCTTTCTTTTCGGTTTTGGGTGGGGAAGAAAACTTGTTTATGACGCAATGAAATTTGATTGAGTATGGACTGATTGCGAATCGTTTGGCGATGTGGGTTTGTTCCTCCCCTGGCTTCACCTTTCTGAGCATCGTATCCTGCATGAGATGTCATGGTGAAACCGAATAGACTGCTAACTTGCTGCTAACCCCGCTCCTCCAATTATCATGTTGAAATTGAATGGACGCGCGGATATACGTCGGCTTGCCATGCATGCTCGAATTTCTGCATGTCGAGAAATCCTTGACGAGCTTACTTATACGGACCAGAACCAAAAGGCGACTCAGGCATTTGTACCACATGTATCCTTCTCTGGAGGGAAGGAAGTTGAACTCTGGCGAATCTAGAGCTCATGAAATAAATCCACAGAAGGGCCACTAGGTTCAAGACTAGGATGCCCCGATCAAATACAATTAGAGTACATATACCAGTTGCATGAGGTCTCAGGGCGTCTGTATGACAAGGAATGACAGACCTTCAGCAAAAGATCCGCGTGCTAAAAGTGCTTCGCCGATTCTCAGAGAGCGAAGTGCCAGGGCTAACGGCGCATCAATCGTGAGAATTAGAAGCGTTGAGGCTATGGAGGGCGTTGGAACCTTAAAAAATACGCCACCTAGTTTTTTTGCTCGCCGCTGGGAGGGATTTCGACCACTACCGTATACTTACAAAAACCTTCCCTGAGACTGAAACCCTGTACCCAGCACGCGAGTTATTGTGCGTGGACTCGGCGATGCGATTTCATCGATTGTATATAATCGATATGCGGGTTGTGTGCGCCGTGCGGGTGGCCCATGCGCTCCCATGCAGTGATGCGGCCATCTCGTATAAAAAAGAAAGCTTTGGACAAATGGAGACTTGAACTCCAGACCTCCTGCAAACACAAGAACATGCTAAGCAGGCGTGATAAACCATCTACACCATATGCCCGCGGAAGAGACGTCCAAAGTACGACCTTAGTTGAGAACCAAGATTCGTATACTATTCAGGCGTCAAATTTTCAAGGCTGTGTCATGAAAACCTCGAGATTCAACGCACCCCCCTCACTGGCACAGGCGAACGGAACGCAGCCAATCTTCAAGCCTCTCTTGCTTCCGTTCGTTTTCTTCTTCTCGAATAACGCCTTCATTCGCCTGTTCTTCTTCACGATTCGCTTTCATGCGGAACGACATCACCCTGTCCATAGCTTCCGCTAAAGATCGAGCAGCAGGGCGCCTGGGAACTCGCCGCGGCGGCGAGTCGCCTCGCGGACGCGCTTGCTTGAGTGGAGGAGTATCGGAGTTGTAATACCGTGCACAGATATCGGGGGACTTGAGTGAGTGTTGCTCAGCGACGGGCGTAGACAAAATGCAGCAGATGCGGACTTGACGACACAGATGCGCTTCCACCAGGCAATCGCGCGTCGGTGTTATGCGGGGCGATCATATTGTTCACTGAAACTTGCGGAACTACCTGCTGGAGGGTGAGACGGTTGGCGGCGCTGGAAGGGGACCGGGAACATCCGAGGGGTCGAGGTAGGGATTTGGGTCTGTTGGTTCGCATGAGATTCGGTGTATGTGAACTGGTTATAATACCCAGAGGAGAGTAATTCCGCCGTCTCCGAAGGGCAGACGCAGTCATAGTGATATACCGTTTCGACCGTCACCAATTTTCTCGATTCGCTCCTCATTTGATGCCATTCGGTAGTCGGAAAGACGCTTCACGTACTGGAAAAAATGGTTGAATGTGGAAGGCAGAGGCAGACGACATACCTCGTCCCCTTTGGAGTGCGGTATTAAGTGGCAAGCTGTACAATTGGTCGCTGGGCTCCCAGTCATGACAGACAAACCGTCGCGGTCGATGACAGCTTGCTGGAAATGAAAATTTCTCTCGCTTGAGCCATCCGAATTGGTGCGGGAATCAAGAGCGTGGATATCGATGAATGGTCCCGGAGCTGGAACGGTGAATTCGGAGGCTTGGGAGAGATGAACTTCGTACATTGTGACACATAGTAGTACTCGGAAAGAATCCCGTCCACCTGCTCGTCTGCGACTTGATTCCCATCGGGATTGGTGCAGAGTTGACCGTGTTCTCCGTGAATGACCCCACCGAGAAACCGAAGCCATTTCAACGGACGATGTGTAAATCGGGAGATCTCGGCTTGCGAGATGTCGATAACTGAGCTCCAGTCGTTGTTGAATTTGAGGTGCAGACGTGGCATGGCCGCAAGACAAAAGAATTTTTAGGGGCTGTGATATGGCGGTGTGGCTGAGTGGCACGTGTACTTAGTCTTAATGTTTCTAAGCTGACTGCTAGTGAGACTAAATTGGGGACTGTCCCAGCGAACACTCGAGAAAATTAGAAAGATCTAGAAGATGGTGAGAGAGTTTGTGCTTGGAATTTGCTTATAATTCAGGACGAACCGCAATCAAAAATTGATCGCGACTCCCACGGTTGAATCTAGTGCGAATTGTTGACCACGAACCGTTTTAAGCTGCAACGGTGGTGAGATTTGAGCATAACTTGACCCCCCTCTAGAGGGTTCTGCCGATAGTTCACAACTTGAATGCAAGTCAAATGCAAGTTCAGTTTGAAGTTGAATGAAGTACGAAGCGTGGTTGAATTTTGTAGTTTCCAACAAGCTTCCGCCGAGTTTGTTATCCATTGCTGATAAAGTAAACACGCAGCCGTTCATCAGTACACATTTCCGAGAAAATCCGAGCGAGCCGGGGTTTGTAACTGTTGAGCGCACGTGCTTAGTCAGCTAGTAAAGTCAGCCGTTTATCCCACCCGAGCCCGACCAACCGTGCAAAGACGTCCGGCTTCCCGCATTTACCACTCTCAGGCCTCAGGTATAATATTACTCTCGGCAATGATTTCTCACTCTGTCGGCGAAACTGAACCAGGAATCATCCGGCAGACTGCGGGATAGGCTGTGGCTGACCAACTCACGCTGAGTCAGATTTGTGGAGACGGCGTTTTCGGAGGGTCTCATAGCCGGAACTGTGTCCGTCCGTTTCGCGCTCTGTCATTCACATTCTCATGACCCGCTTTTTTGCAGAGTCTTCTCAGCATTTACCCAGCATCTGGATCGGCATGAAGATCACCACCGACTTATAAAGCCCAAGCGGACATTGCCCACCCTTATCCACCAGCGCCACACACGCCTGTTCCGTTCCGTTGACTCGTGGGCTTTCATATAAAGGCGGACCCCAACGGACCCCTCGACGTATACCTGCATTCCAAATGCCCAACTGCAGCATCTGCTATGACCGCTTTACGGATCCTGTGTCCTTACCATGTGGTGCGTTTTTATATATCTACCCTCTCGGATAAGTCTCTAACATTTCCATAGGACATGTGTTCTGCCGAGAGTGCATACGTCGCACTGTGGACTCAACCAAGCCCACCAGCATTCAACACTTTTGTCCGACGTGTCGAGCATCATATAGCGTTTGTATGTTGTCTCACATTCGCGCAGAATATCAATTAACCCATCCTCTCAGTAACCGTCGATCCGGGCCCCATCCCTCCCTACCTCCGGCCGCACATCTTGCCCCCCATCCGCCAGGTCTTCTTCGATGATTCCGCGCCGTCCGCCTCTGGCTCCACATGTTCACCGGCCGAGCTTGAGCGGGTAGTCGCGGATGCCAACGCCCTACGCATGGATTGTGCGACTTGGCGACGGCGCGCGGAAACGCACGCCGCTGCCAACACCGGCCTCCTTGGTTTTGCGCGTGCCGCCAAGGAACACGCGCTGCGTATGCGTGCCGAGCGCGACGGTGCGCGCACCCAGTGCGCCCTCCTCAAGCGCAAGCTCGCGGAGCTCATGTGTGTACCCTCCATTTCCCTCGTCTGCGACGGAAAGCTAATTAATACATTGGCGCAGGTCGGAATCCGATACATGTGTACCGGAGGTGGCGGCGGTTCCCCCGCCACGGGTGGGTTTACCGGTGTTTCTGATGCAGTGCAAGGCCGCTGCGCAGTTCTACGACAACCCTGCGGACATGACAGAGAGTCATTTTGGCCCCCCGATAAAACGGCGACGCAAGGAGGAACTGCCCTGCGACAGCATTTTTGTTTCGGCCGCGAGTGTTCCCGGTGCTGTCGTTGGTGCTGCCGTTACTGCCATTTGTGATGTTTCCGGTGCTGCTGCCAAGAAGTCGATTATTTCGTCGGCAGAAACAACTAAACCCTTGGCGGAAGCAACCAAAGTAGAAGTTCAATAACATCACACACGGAAGGCTCGGCTCGCCTTCACACGACAGGCTTGACTTGTCCTCACAGGGATCTATGCATTGTTTTCTCTCATCAATATTTGGGTCTTCCTAGGGTTTTATCTGCCATCGTTTTTCTAGACATCATCGTTATAGTTTTTCTACACAATAGCATCGTCATCGTTCACGCAATGGTATCTACATGGATCTATATACACGCTCGTTATAAATTTTGTCACTCAACAATCAACTGTACTTCGTCTTCCGCGCAATCATCGGGGGGAGGAAGACATAAGAAGTGGATACTCTTCCACAAAGAAAAGTGAGGTTCAGCTTTGAAATTGTTGAGGTTCAAATCCAGATGGTTCGACATCCGCCACTCATGACCACAGGAGAAGTTCATCGTATGGAAATTTTGTATCTCGCTGATTTACAGGTCTAGACTATTCTGGTTCAATTTCGCCGTTCTGACCCTTCGTTTCTCGGTAATGCTTGCAAACGTCAATCAGAATAGAATCCGCTGAGGCGCAATGTGCTCGCTCGCTGCGCTCGCAACCAGCAATTACAGATACTCCCCCAAACCTCCCCAAATAATGCCGATGACGTTTGATCGCCGACTGACAGCGTCGATCCCATCAGTGGCAGTACCACCTTTGCTTCATTTGCTATCACTTGCAAGGGCCTGCAAGGGCTCGCAGCTGGAGCTGGCAACTTGTTTTCTGACTTTCCGATCCAAAGCCGCTCATTTCCATCGACAATCTACGCCTCTTCGATAATTAATGGGCAATTCGATCAATTCAATGTCAACCATCTAAAACTTGAAGTTTTTTTTGGAAATTTCCGTTCCCTCCGAACTTAAAGCTATTCCAAGATGTTTTCCGATAATCAGCTAAACTTTCGGTGAAGGCGGAACACACCAATGTCCTTTGATGTAGGTGTGAGTGTTCGAGGAAGAGATGCGATAATTCCGGTCCAACACCGTACCTCGGCAATATATCGTTTGCTACCTTCAAGCCGTAGCTATAAATCATCTCGTTGCATCACCGAGGCGACCATGATCTGTGCGTTTTCATTGTTGCGCAAGAGGTCACAAAACACACTTGATACCCCTCATCTTCAAATCGAATTCAACACGAAACCAACCCGCACCACCGAAATGGCGATGGGCCAGCTGATCGTCAAGGTCAGAAGATTATATATCCACATCTTGAGGACTCGACTGCGACAGCAAGAAGCGTTCGGCCCTGCATCGGAACTGAGGTCCATCGCACGGAGGTGTATGTCGACCGGCACATATTCACCCAGCACGACGGCCACACATCTGATATGGGTGTGACATGTTTTTACTTTGTTTTCTGACGCTGTCCACAGGATAGAAGCTGCCCGTGGATAAGAAGGGCGGGAGGACCTATCAATAGACACATGTACCTCGGGCAGTTTGTTGGAGCCCAGTAATTGATAACGCGTTTTCAAAATGACACAGTGCCTAGGAAAGGAACTCGTCAAAGAATTCAGCTTGCTGGACCACAGAAGATTGAAATAAAAATATGTTGTAGTGGCTGGGGTCTTACATAGGAGGGTCCATCCGATTTTGGATTTGACAAGTGACCGCCGCAGATGCGGAAGATTCTGACGCGCAGAAGTCAACAAATGTTCTAATTGACCCAAAATTGACCCTGTGTAAATTCAAAGAATATAGGAAGAACCTCGGCGCCGTTCAAGTCGCGGTAAGCG